TACCTACCTACCTACCTACCTACCTACCTACCTATCTATCTATCTATCTATCTATCTATCTATCTATCTATCTATCTATCTATCTATCTATCTATCTATCTTTTGTCTTCATTTTACTTGCTGATTTGATTTTTGTTGTTCAGGGTTGTTTTCTCCTGTTCTTTATTCACGTGCTGTTTCAAGCTTTGAATTTGCTTAAAATGGTTTAACTGCCTTGGATTATGTTATAAAAGTCCAGTGTCTGGGTTGGGTTGTTAATACCTATTGAAGCCTGTCCCCGGTTGTTTTATTTGTATCTAGCACTACTCAAGAAGTCAGATCACAGCTTCGTAAGAAGGTTGCTGTCTGATGGAAACTCTAAATACGACCAGCTCCCCTGAGATCTGTCCTAAGCAGCAGCTGATGCATATTGTAACCTTCTGGGTAAAAATGGTGATAAGCAGAACTGTTTGACCAGCCATTTTGGAAGACTGTCACAGATGAGAAGAACTCCTAGATTGTGTACTGGGATTTGTAACAGAATTGCTAGAGCCATACAGTTAATTTAATTCTGCCTTGGTTACAATATGGTTTGGGATCTCTGGCTGACTGCAGCCCATCAGCCAGGGAAAGGGATTCCCTGTTGTGACAAGCAAAAAAAGAAATCTTGTTTTCATTTCTAATGTAGGCTGCTGAAATGAAGAGAAGTCAGCCTGAGCATGGGAATCTGTGCCCCCCGAATGTGGGCAGACTACAGTTTCCAGCAGTCACAGCCAAGATAATTAATAGTGTGGGAGGCTCAGAGTTGTATGGCCAGAGGTTCCCCATTTCTGTTAGGGAAATGTGCATTGTTAAGGTGGTTATGGGTGCTTCAGATAAATCTCCTGCTGTGCAATTGCCCAACCTTGTTTCTACTATTTCATGGGGGGAGTGTGGTGTCCTCCTGATGCCACCATGTTCCATTTCTAACCCCTTCAGTTTTCTCCTTAATTTCTTCTGCATTTTTCATTTAGGGAAGAAAACATGGAATAAAGGGTGTCCAAGAAGGATATAAAAATATCAAAATGGTTGCTGCAACTCTGTGATTGACGCCGCACCCCTTTTTTACATGTGTCACACATACAAAGGAGCTTCAATCACACAGTTGCAATGGCCCTCTTGACTTTTTTGACCTCCCCAATGAATGCCCCAGCTCCTAGTGTTTTTTGAGACACCCTACCTCAGGCTAACCCATCTGTAAAATGTTACACAATGCTTTGATACCCCCCAAAAACTTGCTAACCCTCAAAAAAGAATTAAGATGATGATGATTGCTTACCATTTCCCTTCTTCAATCATTCATTCAGTTTGACCAAACAACCCTACTGGCTGAAGTTTTGTGTTTGAATCTGTAAGTGCTTGAGAACTAGCCTATGAATGTCATTCTAATTTCTGGATCCTTGACATGGTTCCTGCCCTACCTGATTTTAATGTTTTAAAGATGCATTTAATTTAAAAATTGAAAGGGGAGATAAGCATGCTACAAAACAAAGCGTCAGCCTGAAACATACCTGTATGTCAGCAGCACTTCGTGGATCTCAGAAGCCTTAGTAAATAACATGTGGATGATTGCATCCCAGGCCTAGTCTTCTTCTGGTATATGCACACTTGGAATTGGCCCCAAGCACCATGGCAGCCATTTTGTGGGTGTGCCAATAACACGCTCTCAAAATTCCAGATGTGGCCAGTGACCCAAAGGGATGGGGCTCCTCTTGCAGTAAATGGCTTGCAAAGTGTAATAATCAACTGGCTCTACTTTTTAAGCCATTATTTTTCAAGGGGTTCCAGCAAAAAAAAAAAAAAAAGTGTGAATCCTATAACTTTTTCACTCAGTTGAATAGTTTTGGTGTGCTCAGACATCTCCCACTGTCTCCACTCTCTTTGAACCCAGCCATTGAGTTCTTGATCTTCTTTTCTCCTCCCCTCTGTAGATATGATCAGCCAGAGGACACGAAGCAGCAAGAGCTCAAGTGAGGGGAAAATAGGTAGTGGAAGGGAGACCCTACGGCTGCGTGCAACGGGTGCTGCCACCATAGAGCAGGCGGTGAGTCCGCTCTGGGACAGGGAAGAATTGGGTTAACCAGGTGTCCATATTCTCACTGGTCTTGTATTCAGATGGGAAACTTGGTGGCTGGATGGAGGTGAGCTGATTGCGTCAGGGCTAACCTCAAGAAAGTGCCTGTTAGATGCCGAGACAGTTGTAGCAGGAGAGGCCTCTGAAGGATCATGAGAACGCAGCAAATTTCATTGTTTCTCAAGCTTCTGTTCATCAAGGAGGAATGATGGCTGATATATGCAGCATGAGGCATTTTTTATGGGGAGTGGATGAATTATTCCAAAGGATTCACAATGTCCGTAAAATCCATCTTGGGTTTGTGCCCACCACTTTTTGCCCTCGATTTCCTCTCAGTTGTTCATGATGTATTTATCACACCTATCCTCTAAAGAGCCCAAACTGGTACAGATGGTTTCCCCAACTTGCTCCAATCCTACTCTCTCCATGAAATAAGTTAGGCCAATCTCCCTTACTCTGGAGATCTCTAAATACATGGAAGTCCAAATGCTGGAATTCCAAGTCAGCATGGGTTTTGTAGTCTGACATGCTGAGAAGGCACTAGGTTGGGGAAAAGTGGGTTAAGCTGACAGAAAGCTAGAGAGTATGGTCAAGGTCACCAAACTTCGAACCTCACTCTATCACACTGCACCCAATTGATTGTTACCCACTGAGGGGAGGTCTAGCCTGTAAAGAATTCCCTGTAAATATTGGCATTTCAGCTCCATTTGATCTCCTTCCGTTCACAGCCAAGTGAGTTTGAGGAAGAAGCTGCTGGAAAAATGGATGACTTATTGGAAAGCTACATGGGCATTCGTGACCTGGAATTGGGTGAGTAGAAAACAATGCATGGTCAGGCTGAAAAAAAATTGTGAAGATTCCCTTCACCTTGCCTCATTATTGCCTGGGTGGAACCTCCAGACTTGGAGGCAGCCTACCTCAGATTCTAGAGGTGGGGAATCATATTGTAGAGAAGGGCTGCTGAACCTGGATGACTATTGAGGAAGATGGATTTTCAGTCTGATACAGTGAGACAGTTTGTACATGTTTTCATGGAAAATGAAGTTAACAATTAAAGAGAGATAAACAGAACTATCTTTGATAGGGTTCTGTGGGTTGTGATTGGCCTTCCCCTAATTTTGCCTAAAAACTATACCAGAAGTAGACAGTGTGGTGCCCTTGGACACCCATGTGCCTCCAGTCTCCTCCATTGGTACCCATCAGGCTTCCTGATTAAATTAATAATTAAACAAGGACGCTGTTTTAATATTGAATGAAATAGGTAGCTAGCATGTCCCAAACCTTCATATTTATTTGCAGGAATGCCTTTGGGATCCATGAGATCCCACGGGGATGCTGAACAGCATCTGGAGTTCTCTTTGCCTTTCAATGAATGGGTGTTTCACTACAGGCCACGCCCCCCCAGCAGCCTTTTTATGAATGCACTCAGCGCATGTCCTCAACATTCCAAATGTGTCTTTGCTCCAAATGGTTGTTTATCCCTGTGCTGAGCCCTAATGTCAGGCCCATTTTCTGCAGCCTCAAGCATGGTGGAGATGTCCAAAGAATGCCAGAGCCCTGAAGACTTCGCTCACAGTCTGGATTTGCTACTGGGTGAATTTGCCTTCCCAGAAGAGTTTGTCTCAGAGGTCTGGACTGCGGTTTGCGAGACCAAGGAAAGCTCTGAGTAGTTTCAAGAGGTGGGCTGGGAAATGAAGGCTGTTTCTTTCTTCGCCACCTCATGATGTCCTGTACTTTGGACTGCTAGAGGAGATGTAGCCTTGACCTTCTCTATTTTCTATTTCAGAACTAGGTGATGGATAGTTTCAAGGATGGATAGTGTGGAGCATGGGTTACATGTTCCAAGAGCAAACCCACTGATACAGTGATGGGATATTTAACCAGTTCAGATCTGAACCTGACCATCCAGGTTTTACAGGAGGCAGAACTGGATGAAAATCTGTTTTCAGACTGCAGTGCTGACAAAGGTTTTCAATGTTCTGCCAATGCTCAGAATAAATTCTGTTTAACTGTCTTAAAAAGAGAAGCATCTATGAAAATAGTCTTTGGATTTGAACAGATCAGGCATGTAGACTTCAAAAGGGTCCTCCTTCTCTGGCAATTTCATTCTTTAGAAAGATGGACTCACAAATTGTTCATAGCAAGCAAACCAGAGCGTGTTCCTGCATAGACCATTCAGGCCAGAAGCTAAACTCATTCAGCCACATCCCCAATAATAGGCTTCTTCAGGTTGATCTACGGCAGTGTTTCTCAACCGTAGCCACTTGAAGATGTGTGGACTTCAATTCCCAGAATTCCCCAGCCAGCCATGCTGGCTGGGGAA